TGGGATATCATGATCTTTTTTTTTTTTTTATCACAGAAGTGTTCCAATAATTGTTCTTGTTCATCTTCAGAATCGCTCTCGAATTCACTGTCTTGATTGTCTTGCCTTGGGGTGACACTTTCGCCTTCATTACTTCCAGGTTCATTAAACCTTTCTTCATTGCTTATCATGTTGTAATCTAACTTGGTGCGCATGCGCTAATATCCAATTTTTAATTTTTTTCTTCTATTATCAGAGCGTTCTGTCAAGTTTGTATTTTGAATCTTGCCTCTTGTATATAAGATTCTCTATTCTTTTTGTACCACGATTTTACGTTGGTGGCACAAGACCCGGTCAATGGGGGTCTAATTTGCCTACCCATGAGGGTGGAGGATCTTTTCGATCTTACAACTTATTTTAAATCGTTTGGGTTTTCTGCTCTAGCTTCAGCTGCTACAATCTTTAGATATCGGCGAGGCCATTGTTGTGCAATGTTACAGACTCACGGGAAGTAGTATGCACTTAACTGCCTCATGCTTAATAGCTGTAGGTATTTATAGTCTTTTTGACTTCGTATCTCACTTTATCTCCTTGTACCGAAGAGATTTCCTCCCCTTATTTTCCTTCGTAATTCTGGGAGCTTTTGTCGCTTCACAATCATCTTCCCTCTCCCTAAGTGATTGCCTGGATATGGGGGATTATGATCTTTCTTTTTTTTTCTCATAGGAGTGTTCCAATAATTGTCCTTGATCATCTTCGGAATTGCTTTCGATTTCACTGTATCGTTTGTCTTGCCTTGACGTAACACTTTCGCCTTCATTACTCCTAGGCTCATTAAACATTTCTTCATTGCTTATCCTGTTGTAATCTAACTTGGTGCGCATGCGTTAACATCCAATTTCCATTTTTTTTCTATTATTTGTCCGGATTGTATTTTGAATCTTGCCTCTTGTATATACGATTCTCTATTCTTTTTGTACCACAGTTTTACGTTGGTGGCAAAAGACACGGTCAGTGGGGATCTAATTTGTCTATCCATGAGGGCGGAAGGGCTTTTCGATCTTCCAACTGATTTTAAATCCTTTAAGTTTTCCGTTCTAGCGTCAGCTGATACAATCCTAAGTCAGGCTTGTGCGTATTCATAATTATCAACCATGATAATTGTTCGCTCGATTCTTTAGATATCAGCTAGGCCATTGTTGTGTCTGTGTTACAAACTCACCGGAAGTAGTATACACTCAACTGCCTCATGGCTAATAACTGTAGCTATCTATAGTCTTCATGACGTCATATATAAATGAATCACCTCACTGGGCGCGGAGAGGCGAAAATATTTTCCCAGTCTTTTGGGTCGGACGGGTAAGATGCGCAAATAGATTTGGCGCCTGCTGTGGTCCCAACAACCATCTGGACATCATTAGGCGGATTTAAAGAAGGTCGAAGCCGCAGTTAATCTGTGTTCGCGAAGGAATTTCTTTTGAAGCGGAGGGCTGAGGAGTAAACTTCGAAAATCTGCCTTATCAACCTATACAAGATATCATTACTTCCGCTTTGATGATTAAACAAGCTGAGCGGAATAGATAGATAGATAGATAGATAGATAGATGTGAAACGTCTGAGATAGATGTCAACAAACAGTATACATATATATAAATATATATATATATATATATATATATATAGACAGATAGATAGATAGATACATATACTTAGATATTGAACAGGTTGATATACATAGATAGATAGATAGATATGAAATACAGAGATAGATATGAAAAGTGTGAGATAGATGTCAACTGGCTGATATATATATATATATATATATATATATATATATATAGAGAGAGAGAGAGAGAGAGAGATAGACAAATAGATAGATAGATAGATAGATAGATAGATACATAGATAGATACATAGATAGATAGATAGATAGATAGATAGATAGATATACTTAGATATTGAAACAGGTTGAGATACAAAGATAGATTTGAAAGACGGAAATAGTTAAATAGATATGAAAAGCGTGAGATAGATGTAAACAGGTTCATGTTTATATATATATATATATATATATATATATATATATATAAAGATATATATATATATATATAAGACTCAGACAGATAGATAGATAGATATAAAAGACTGATTATATATATATATATATATATATATATATATATAGATAGATAGATAGATATAAAAGACTTAGATAGATAGATAGATAGATAGATAGATAGATAGATATAAAAGACTGAGATAGATAAATAGATGATAGATAGATAGATATACTTAGATATTGAACAGGCTGAGATAGATAGATATGAAAGACGGAGATATATAGATATTAGGTTGACCTGGCACCTTTTTGTGTTTAAATGCTGAATTCTATATCGGCTGAATTTTGTAAAGGTCACCTAGTCAGAAGCGAACTCAATATCCGGTAGCTATTGTTAGTCAAACTAGACTCATTTACAATTACTGTATTGAGATATGAAATGTCTGAGATACCAGCAGACTGATGTGTGTGTGTGTGTGTGCATATATATATATATATATATATATATATATATATATATATATATATATCGATAGAGATATATAGATATGAATTACTGAAATAGACAGCTAGATAGAGAAACTCAGATATTGAACAGGCTGAGACAGATAGATAGATATCTTAATTTGTGCTATCTATCTATCTATCTATCTATCTATCTATCTATCTGAGTATTATCATATCTATCTATCGAAGTCTGTTTCCCTCTCTCTATGTACATATCTATCTATATTTTTATCTATTTGAGTATGATGATATCTATCTATCTCATTCTGTTCAATATCTATCTATCTATCTATCTATCTATCTATCTATCTATCTATCTATCTATCTATCTATCTATCTTCATATCTATATTTCTTTGAGTTTGATCATATCTATCTATGTTCATTATCTATCTATCTATCTATCTATCTATCTATCTATCTATCTATCTGAGTATGTTCATTATCTATCTATCTATCTATCTATCTATCTATCTATCTATCTATCAGAGTATGTTCATTATTATCTATCTATCTATCTATCTATCTATCTATCTATCTATCTATCTATCTATCTATCTCATTCTGTTCAATATCTATCTATCTATCTATCTATCTATCTATCTATCTATCTATCTATATATATATATATATATATATATATATATCTTCACGAAGATATGCTTATTCAGGCCGACCAAAACGAACACACCTTTAAAACCAGATATTTCTTCAAATCTTTGCAAAAAGACCTGGCCTACATTTTTTCTGCACATCATCGAATCTATAACCAGGGAAATATATATTCATAAATATTTTAGACGCTCGACTGAAAACTTACTGGAGAGGAATTTTTAAGCACATCTACCGAAGGAAAATATCGTTCGTCTGAATTGAAGCCATGAATATTTAATCTGGTCCGTCTGAACAATCTACATTTGACGCACGCACGCAACAACATCTCCCCATATGATACTTTCCAGAATTTTTTTTTTAACAGAAAGTGCTTCATCTATGTGCTGTGGGCGTTCATGAATCTCCACAACTTCTCCTACTTTAACGCTCGTATTACATTTTATTTTGCGATATTTCTTATTCCCGGTTCTGGAAACGATTTTCACAACCTTGATGGGTAGTTCTATACGCTGCTTCCCCCTGTCTCAATGGCACTAGTATTTCACAATATACACTGTGAGTATCTTTGAAGTGACTCTCTTTCCGGTTTTAGACGTAAGTGACATTTGGTTCAAATTTTCCCCTGAAACTTTGCCATTCCTGATCACTTTCTCTTCATCGGTGAGGGGATTATTTAGGTTATACTGCCATATATTATGACTGATCTTATATAACCGTACAGCAGCCTTACCTTTGTTACATTTGACTCAAGGTTCTTCTTCATCTGTGAGAAGATTTTCCATCATTCACTGCCATATAGGAGGACTGATATTATGTAACCGTTCAGCACCCTTTTCTTTGTTTCTGTTGCCTCAAGTCTCTTCTTCATCTGTGAGGAGGTTGTCCATCATTCACTGCCATATAGGAGGACTGATATTATATAACCGTTCATCACACTTTTCTTCGTTTCTATTGCCTCAAGTCTCTTCTTCATCTGTGAGGAGATTGTCCAGCATTCACTGCCATATAGGAGGACTGATATTATATAACCGTTCAGCACCCTTTTCTTTATTTCTCTTGCCTCAAGTCTCTTCTTCATCTGTGAGGGGATTGTCCAGCATTCACTGCCATATAGGAGGACTGATATTATATAACCATTCAGCCCCCTTTTCTTTGTTTCTGTTGCCTCAAGTCTCTTCTTCATCTGTGAGGGGATTGTCCATCATTCACTGCCATGTAGGAGGACTGATATTATATAACCGTTCAGCACCCTTTTCTTTGTTTCTGTTGCCTCAAGTCTCTTCTTCATCTGTGAGGAGATTGTCCAGCATTCACTGCCATATAGGAGGACTGATATTATATAACCGTTCATCACCATTTCCTTTGTTTCCATTGCCTCCATGTGAAGGAATTGTCTGGTATTCTTTTTTGACGATTCCTAAATATTTAAATGTTTGTATAAGCTTTCTTTACTGACAAACATACATCCTGTCTTCTTACAATAGAGGCATAGTCCTTTCTTCTCGCTTTCTTTTACTAACTTCTGTATGATTTTATGTAGTTTCCTTTCTATGCTTGCTAGTAAAGCTTTTTCATCTGCATATCAGATTTCGCTAAGATTGTGGCCGCCAATAAATAACTTTGTTAAGATATGTAGGAAAGATAAGGGTTTGCCCTAAATGTGAAAAGATTACACTTGTTGTGATCAGAGTAAGCATCCAATGGATATTCTTTTCCATCTATATAGAGTTTTGCAGAAGTTTGCTGGGTGGAATAGCACGGGAGGAACATTTGAGAAACATGAAGACGTTAGAAGCAGAATGGGACAGCTGCAATTTAACTCGGTGTCACCTCGGAATGTT